GCTGCTCCCAGAGCCTGAGCTGCTCCCAGAGCCTGAGCTGCTCCCAGAACCTGAGCTGCTCCCAGAGCCTGAGCTGCTCCTGAGCCTGAGCTGCCCCTGAGCCTGAGCTGCTCCCAGAGCCTGAGCTGCTCCAGAGCCTGAGCTGCTCCAGAGCCTGAGCTGCTCCCAGAGCCTGAGCTGCTCCCAGAGCCTGAGCTGCTCCAGAGCCTGAGCTGCTCCCAGAGCCTGAGCTGCCCCTGAGCCTGAGCTGCCCCTGAGCTGCTCCCAGAACCTGAGCTGCCCCAGAGCCTGAGCTGCTCCAGAGCCTGAGCTGCTCCCAGAGCCTGAGCTGCTCCAGAGCCTGAGCTGCTCCCAGAGCCTGAGCTGCTCCAGAACCTGAGCTGCTCCCAGAGCCTGAGCTGCTCCCAGAGCCTGAGCTGCTCCCAGAGCCTGAGCTGCTCCAGAGCCTGAGCTGCTCCCAGAGCCTGAGCTGCCCCTGAGCCTGAGCTGCCCCTGAGCTGCTCCCAGAGCCTGAGCTGCTCCAGAGCCTGAGCTGCTCCCAGAGCCTGAGCTGCCCCTGAGCCTGAGCTGCCCCTGAGCCTGAGCTGCCCCTGAGCTGCTCCCAGAGCCTGAGCTGCTCCTGAGCCTGAGCTGCTCCCGAGCCTGAGCTGCACCACCCCTCTCCCTCGTGAGCAAGCTGCACCATGACTTTCTTCCCGCAGTGTGTCACAGACTGGAGCAGGAGGCTCTCTGCCCTGACAGGTATATCTGGCTGAGGCGTGGCTGCTGCCCTGCGGCTCCCTTCCACCTGAGGGGCCTTGGAAAGAGCGGCTTCTTCCAGGCCAGGGGCGTGTGACAGCACAGAAAGACCCCTTCCTGTCCTTGGAGGCCCTGGGAAAGGAGCGCCCAGGAAGTCCTGTGTCCCACAGGCTGCAGAGCTCTCCAGGTAATGCAGCAGGAGGCATCACAGTCCTGCTCTTGGGAACTGAGCAGACATGCAAATGCCGCCGTAAGCTTGGGGGTGACCCACAGGGACAGCCCATCAGCAGCTGCCCAGGACTGTGTGACGGGGCACCACGGAGTGCAGGCCTGCCGGGGGACATGGTCTGGCCAGGCCGCTGCTCCTCCGGCTCTTGCGGCTGTCCGGTGGCTGAAGGGCATTTGTCACTCGTATGCCTGCAGGATCCCAGCAGTGGCCAGATGCCACTGTTCCACATAAGCTTCAACTCCTTAGAATGGCTGCTGAACCTCAGGTCAGACAGCGGAGGGGCCCATATAGGATTACTGGATCACCCTCATCCCCACAGATCTCCCTCCCCGTGTGTGCAGGTCCTCCCCTGCCCCGACTCCTCCCTCCCTGTGTGTGCAGGTCCTCCCCTCCCTGACTCCTCCCTCCCTGTGCAGGTCCTCCCCTCCCCGACTCCTCCCTCCCCGTGTGTGCAGGTCCTCCCCTCCCTGACTCCTCCCTCCCTCCCTGTCTGTGCAGGTCCTCCCCTCCCTGACTCCTCCCTCCCTGTGCAGGTCCTCCCCTCCCTGACTCCTCCCTCCCTGTGCAGGTCCTCCCCTCCCTGACTCCTCCCTCCCTCCCTGTGCAGGTCCTCCCCTCCCTGACTCCTCCCTGTGTGTGCAGGTCCTCCCCTCCCTGACTCCTCCCTCCCCGTGTGTGCAGGTCCTCCCCTCCCTGACTCCTCCCTCCCTGTGTGTGCAGGTCCTCTCCTCACTGACTCCTCCCTCCCTGTGTGTGCAGGTCCTCCCCTCCCTGACTCCTCCCTCCCTGTGTGTGCAGGTCCTCCCCTCCCTGACTCCTCCCTCCCCGTGTGTGCAGGTCCTCCCCTCCCTGACTCCTCCCCGTGTGTGCAGGTCCTCCCCTCCCTGACTCCTCCCTCCCTCCCTGTGTGTGCAGGTCCTCCCCTCACTGACTCCTCCCTCCCTGTGCAGGTCCTCCCCTCCCTGACTCCTCCCTCCCTGTGTGTGCAGGTCCTCCCCTCCCTGACTCCTCCCTCCCTGTGTGTGCAGGTCCTCCCCTCACTGACTCCTCCCTCCCTCCCTGTGTGTGCAGGTCCTCCCCTCCCTGACTCCTCCCTCCCTGTGTGTGCAGGTCCTCCCCTCCCTGACTCCTCCCTCCCCGTGTGTGCAGGTCCTCCCCTCCCTGACTCCTCCCTCCCTGTGTGTGCAGGTCCTCCCCTCCCTGACTCCTCCCTCCCTGTGTGTGCAGGTCCTCCCCTCCCTGACTCCTCCCTCCCCGTGTGTGTAGGTCCTCCCCTCCCTGACTCCTCCCTCCCTGTGTGTGCAGGTCCTCCCCTCCCTGACTCCTCCCTCCCCGTGTGTGCAGGTCCTCCCCTCCCTGACTCCTCCCTGTGTGTGCAGGTCCTCCCCTCCCTGACTCCTCCCTCCCTCCCTGTGTGTGCAGGTCCTCCCCTCCCTGACTCCTCCCTGTGTGTGCAGGTCCTCCCCTCCCCGACTCCTCCCTCCCCGTGTGTGCAGGTCCTCCCCTCCCTGACTCCTCCCTCCCCGTGTGTGCAGGTCCTCCCCTCCCTGACTCCTCCCTCCCCGTGTGTGTAGGTCCTCCCCTCCCTGACTCCTCCCTCCCTGTGTGTGCAGGTCCTCCCCTCCCTGACTCCTCCCTCCCCGTGTGTGCAGGTCCTCCCCTCCCTGACTCCTCCCTGTGTGTGCAGGTCCTCCCCTCCCTGACTCCTCCCTCCCTGTGTGTGCAGGTCCTCCCCTCCCTGACTCCTCCCTGTGTGTGCAGGTCCTCCCCTCCCTGACTCCTCCCTCCCCGTGTGTGCAGGTCCTCCCCTCCCTGACTCCCCCCTCCCTGTGTGTGCAGGTCCTCCCCTCCCTGACTCCTCCCTCCCTGTGTGTGCAGGTCCTCCCCTCCCTGACTCCTCCCTCCCTGTGTGTGCAGGTCCTCCCCTCCCTGACTCCTCCCTCCCCGTGTGTGCAGGTCCTCCCCTCCCTGACTCCTCCCTCCCTGTGTGTGCAGGTCCTCCCCTCCCTGACTCCTCCCTCCCTGTGTGTGCAGGTCCTCCCCTCACTGACTCCTCCCTCCCTCCCTGTGTGTGCAGGTCCTCCCCTCCCTGACTCCTCCCTCCCTGTGTGTGCAGGTCCTCCCCTCCCTGACTCCTCCCTCCCCGTGTGTGCAGGTCCTCCCCTCACTGACTCCTCCCTCCCCGTGTGTGCAGGTCCTCCCCTCCCTGACTCCTCCCCGTGTGTGCAGGTTCTTCCCTCCCTGACTCCTCCCTCCCCGTGTGTGCAGGTCCTCCCCTCCCTGACTCCTCCCTCCCTCCCTGTGCAGGTCCTCCCCTCCCTGACTCCTCCCTCCCTGTGTGTGCAGGTCCTCCCCTCACTGACTCCTCCCTCCCCGTGTGTGCAGGTCCTCCCCTCCCTGACTCCTCCCTCCCTGTGTGTGCAGGTCCTCCCCTCCCTGACTCCTCCCTCCCTGTGTGTGCAGGTCCTCCCCTCCCTGACTCCTCCCTCCCTGTGCAGGTCCTCCCCTCCCCGACTCCTCCCTCCCTGTGTGTGCAGGTCCTCCCCTCACTGACTCCTCCCTCCCCGTGTGTGCAGGTCCTCCCCTCCCTGACTCCTCCCTCCCTGTGTGTGCAGGTCCTCCCCTCCCTGACTCCTCCCTCCCTGTGTGTGCAGGTCCTCCCCTCCCTGACTCCTCCCTCCCTGTGTGTGCAGGTCCTCCCCTCACTGACTCCTCCCTCCCTCCCTGTGTGTGCAGGTCCTCCCCTCCCTGACTCCTCCCTCTCTGTGCAGGTCCTCCCCTCCCTGACTCCTCCCTCCCTGTGTGTGCAGGTCCTCCCCTCCCTGACTCCTCCCTCCCTGTGTGTGCAGGTCCTCCCCTCCCTGACTCCTCCCCGTGTGTGCAGGTCCTCCCCTCCCTGACTCCTCCCTCCCCGTGTGTGCAGGTCCTCCCCTCCCCTTGCAGACCCCTCTGTGTGTGCCCCAGCCTCCCTCCCTGCTCTAGCTCTGTGGCCTGGGGGTCTGCAGCCTGCCCTCAGCCTGTCTTTCCCCTGCTCTAGCTCTGTGGCCTGCAGCTTCCTGGGAGTGCTTGCCCCCATTTCCTCATCCTGTGGCTCCTTGAGTTGCTCCTCCGCTGCTGTGCCTTCCTGCCCAGTTTGCCCTGGCGCCGTGGGCGTCACCACCCGCTCCCACTGCTGTTGGAGACATCCCCCCGTCCCAGCGTGCTGCCCCTGGAGCACCCAGTCATCTTCCATCTCCCTACCCTTCCCCCACTAGCTGTGAGACTTCCGTACTTTGTTTTTTGCCAGCCTCACTTTTCCGTCTGCACAGCTGGCTGCCGGTCATGGCCTCATTCCCAGGAGTGCCACAGGGTTAGGGAGACTTGGGGGCAGTCTCTTGAGCCCTGAGCTTCGTCCCCTCTGCAGGTGGCCAGGCTGGACTGTGTGCCCCGCAGGGGCTCTCACGCCGCCCCGGGAGTGGCTGGAACAGCCCCTCATGGGTGGTCGTCTCACTTCCTCTCAGGAATCCTCCTAAGGGGCCACTGGGCGAGCAGTAGAGCAGTGAGGTGGGCATCTCGCATGCCTGTGTGAAAGCCAGCTGTTCCATCAGAGTACTTGGCCTCTGCGTGTTGGGAATTGGCTACTGTTTTAACAGGGTTGGATTCATGCTATGCAAGCTGATGTTGCATAGCCTCCCTCTAAATTGGTGGCACGTGGCAGAGGCAGCTTGGGATATGGCCATACATGAGGTACCCTGGGGGTTTGTGCCTTGTGCTGGTATGAAGTTGACCTTCTAGAATCTTCCCATTCTGAACACCCACTCCGCCCCACGCTGAAATGCACCTGTTTGTAATGCAAAGCTCACCTGCCTGTAACTTGTAAGATTATCCCGTGGGTAGAGTGGCCCTCCTGACAAGGCTAGGTGAGTCTCACAGTGACCCTTGCCAGGTCAGACTCGGCAGCCAAGAGCTGAGGGGCTCCTGGGAGAGTGAGCCCCCAGGGGGGAACCCTAACCTCCCAGCCGTGCGCCCTGCTCTGAGAGGCCTGTGTACCACCTTGACTTTATGCTTTTAATGAGCAAAAGTAAGGAAAAATATCTTCTTTCCTCCTCCAGGTAGACTTGGGAATACCCCAGGGCCCAAGCCCCTTGTCTCAGCCGGCAGGGGGTCCCTTTGCCTCCGGGTCTCCTTGGAATCCCAGCAGTGCAGCGGCCAGTGGGGCTCCAAGCCCACATCCAGAGGGCAGGCAGCAGGCCTGCGGGCTTGTCGCCACGCAGGGCATGCCAGTCTGGGAGCTGGACAAACTCTGAACGTCCTAGTGGAGGGCTGGCCCTGGGACCAGGGCAGCCAGCTGGACCAGCAGGATGAGTGAACCTGGCACGGGCCGCGGACCGCAGGAACGGAAGTTGCTGCTGGGCAGGGACCGGCTCGCTGACACGTTGCTGCCCAGGGTTGGGGTCGGGATGGGCGAGGTTGCCTCTGGCTCCGAGTGGATCTGGGCCGGCAGGAGTAGCAGCAGCAGTGCCAGAGCAGGCTGGGTGGCCATGGCCCTGAGTTCTGGGTGTCCCCTGGTCATCGCAGCTGCTGCTCGGAGCGCCTTTCCACAAGTCCTGTCTGTGGTCCTTGTCAAGTGAAGTCGGGCAACCTTGTCCTGGCCTCACCCCTGCGCGACTGTTAACCGTCAGTCCCCGCTGGGCGCGCGCACCGCGTTCCAGAGCGACCCTGCACCGCATCCTGGATCCGCTCGTGCTGTTCCGAGTCTTGCTGTGTTGCGCCCCATACTGGTTCCGAACGCCCGAGTCCTTGTTGCGCTTGCAAGCTGCGGGCAGTTCTCCCCGCGTCTGGCGCCGCGTCCTTGCTGTGCTCCGCCCTCTTTCCTTTGGATCCTCACTGTGCTGGGGTGTTGCTGCGCTCCTCAGCTCTTCTCAGCAAAGTGCCTGGGAAGCTGCGGAGACTCCTCCAGTGGTCCCGCGCTCTGTCCTCGCTGCGCCCTCCGATGGGACAGTTCTCGCTGTGCACCGCCCGCCCTCTCTCCGTTGGGGGGTTCCTCGCTGCGCCACGCCCCGCTCTGTCCTCGCTGTGCCCCGCCCGCCCTCCGATCGGGGTCTTCACTGCGACCTGCCCCCTTCCGCTCCGTGTCCTCAAGGTGTGGACTAGTCACCACGCCCTGCGCGGTGCTCCCGGTGGCCGGCGCTGTGCCCTCACTGAGCGCTGTCCTCCCTCCATTAGGGTCCTTGCTGTGCCTTGCGGGGCAAACCGCGCTGCCTGCTCGCTGTGTCGCAAGCTTCCTGCATCTGGTCATCTCTGGCCTGTGTTTGGTTTGCCCCATCCACGCTGTGCCCCATCCTTGCTGTGCTGTGCCCTGCTCTCCCTTGCTTAGCCTGGGTCTTCCCCCCCGCCTGTTTTTGCAGAGCTCCGTTTTGCCTCGCCCTGTGCCCTGGCCGTGTTCTGCCCAGGGCCTTGCTGTGCCAACCTCTTCATCTCCATCCTCTTCCTTCCTGCACTGCATTGTCTCTGAGCCCTTGTGCACGTGAGTGTGGACCTCGCTGAGTTACTGCGGGCTTGCTCTGGCCGGCAGGCTCCCAGGCAGACCTTGCCCAGCGGTGGGGTCTTCTTACCGTGCAGCTGGAGTGTCGTGAAAACAGCTTCTTGGAGCGTTTCTGGAGAGTTGGGGATGTCGGACCTGTGCCTGAGCTCAGATCCTGCTGCTTCTGGAACTTGGGAGCTTTGCTGTCTCGTGGGGCAGGAGCACCGCGCTGCACCCCCAGAGGCTTGGTGTTGGCGGTACTGGGGCTTGGAGTTGGCGGTACTGGGGCTTGGAATTAGCGGTACTGGGGCTTGGTGTTGGCAGTACTGGAGCTTGGTGTTGGCGGTACTGGGGCTTGGTGTTGGCGGTACTGGGGCTTGGAGTTGGTACTGGGGCTTGGAGTTGGCAGTACTGGGGCTTGGAGTTGGCGGTACTGGGGCTTGGAGTTGGCGGTACTGGGGCTTGGTGTTGGCAGTACTGGGGCTTGGAGTTGGTACTGGGGCTTGGAGTTGGTACTGGGGCTTGGAGTTGGCGGTACTGGGGCTTGGTGTTGGCGGTACTGGGGCTTGGAGTTGGTACTGGGGCTTGGAGTTGGCGGTACTGGGGCTTGGTGTTGGCGGTACTGGGGCTTGCTCTCGGTGGAAGTGGGAAGGGTGGCGGGCGTGTTTCGGCTTACTCTCAAGCGAGCGCTGCTCTGCTGCTTTTTACCCTGGCTGATATTTTTAGTGTCAGCTCACTGACTTTGATGTGTTCTCTGCTGGTTACCAACACAACACTTCAAAATGAATTTTAGTTTCTTGGAAATAGTAACACAAGCACACAGCAGCTCAGGCTCCGTCTCCACTCCTCCTCCCACCAAGCCTCCCCCCACCCGCTTGCAGGGTCTCTGCGGGGACGGGGCTGTTTTCCCAGAGGGTATCTGGGCTGTTGCTGTCAGAGAAGGAGGGCTGGACCCAGAGCAGTAAGATGAGCTGGCTCCCGTGTGTGTGTAAGCTAGTTACTATTTTACGTACTAGTGAGAGGAACAGAGATGGGAAGAGTTCAGGATCATACTGGTTCACTTCCCCAGTGCTTTCAGCAGCCAGGACCAGGCGGGCTGGCGGGAGCTCCACCAGCAGCCAGGACCAGGTGGGCATGGTGGGAGCTGGGATCCACCAGCAGCCAGGACCAGGCGGGCTGGCGGGAGCTCCACCAGCAGCCAGGACCAGGTGGGCATGGTGGGAGCTGGGATCCACCAGCAGCCAGGACCAGGCGGGCTGGCAGGAGCTCCACCAGCAGCCAGGACCAGGTAGGCACGGTGGGAGCTCCATCAGCAGCCAGGACCAGGCGGGCTGGCGGGAGCTCCACCAGCAGCCAGGACCAGGTGGGCACGGTGGGAACTGGGATCCACCAGCAGCCAGGACCAGGCGGGCCGGAGGGAGCTCCACCAGCAGCCAGGACCAGGTGGGCACGGTGGGAGCTCCACCAGCAGCCAGGACCAGGCGGGCTGGCGGGAGCTCCACCAGCAGCCAGGACCAGGTGGGCACGGTGGGAGCTGGGGTCCACCAGCAGCCAGGACCAGGCGGGCTGGCGGGAGCTCCACCAGCAGCCAGGACCAGGTGGGCATGGTGGGAGCTGGGATCCACCAGCAGCCAGGACCAGGCGGGCCGGCGGGAGCTCCACCAGCAGCCAGGACCAGGTAGGCACGGCGGGAGCTGGGATCCACCAGCAGCCAGGACCAGGTAGGCACGGTGGGAGCTTGGATCCACCAGCAGCCAGGACCAGGCGGGCCGGCGGGAGCTCCACCAGCAGCCAGGACCAGGCGGGCCCGGCGGGAGCTCCACCAGCAGCCAGGACCAGGTGGGCATGGTGGGAGCTGGGATCCACCAGCAGCCAGGACCAGGCGGGCTGGCAGGAGCTCCACCAGCAGCCAGGACCAGGTAGGCACGGTGGGAGCTCCATCAGCAGCCAGGACCAGGCGGGCTGGCGGGAGCTCCACCAGCAGCCAGGACCAGGTGGGCATGGTGGGAGCTGGGATCCACCAGCAGCCAGGACCAGGTGGGCTGGCAGGAGCTCCACCAGCAGCCAGGACCAGGTGGGCACGGTGGGAGCTCCACCAGCAGCCAGGACCAGGCGGGCCGGCGGGAGCTCCACCAGCAGCCAGGACCAGGTGGGCATGGTGGGAGCTGGGATCCACCAGCAGCCAGGACCAGGCGGGCTGGCAGGAGCTCCACCAGCAGCCAGGACCAGGTAGGCACGGTGGGAGCTGGGATCCACCAGCAGCCAGGACCAGGCGGGCTGGCGGGAGCTCCACCAGCAGCCAGGACCAGGCGGGCCCGGCGGGAGCTCCATCAGCAGCCAGGACCAGGTGGGCACGGTGGGAGCTGGGAGCTCCTCCCTGGGAGGCATTGGGTTCCTGGACCGTCACCTGCTGCCTCCCGGGTGTGCCCGGCAGGAGGTAGGTTAGGGGGCATGTCTCTGCTCCCCTGAGGTGGAACAGAACGTCAACCCCAACTGAGCTCCCCCTCCACCCAAGGACACAGTCCAAATGTGAAATGCTTCTACACAGAGAGTACTGAGAGTGAGGACTTCTCAGAAAGACATCTGACTGTAGGATGAGGCCCAGAAATGGCTGTCCCTAAGCACCTGCCTGGGCCAGAGTGAGGAGCCCGGACGGCTGCACACCTGTGACTACGGCGTGGGAAAGGGAGTGGGAGCCATCGGGCAGAGCGCCCCGTGGCCAGCGACAGGATGGAGGAGGCTGGCTCCCAGCCCGGAGTGTGAGATGGATACCCACGGGGCCACAGGCACGAATCAACGATTGACACACAAGTGAGGGACGAACAACACCCACGGGGCCACAGGCGCGAACAGACTGACAGACACGGGGACTAGCGGCTTCTGTGGATGCCACGTGGCATTGCCCTCCGCCACCAGTGGGGGCTGCGTGTGGCTCCTTCTCCCCCAGACAGCACTGTAGGGGGAACCCACAGAGCCACCCAGTGGGGCGGGGAGGGAGTCGGGGTTAGCAGCCCAGGGCCCCAGAGGTCACCCTGGAAATGGCCGCTGGGCCGGGGCTTCCTCCCACCTCCCCCCAGGGGACACAGCAGACACACTCCTGCCACGCGGCGAGCAGCTGCCAGCTGCCCGGCCACCAGGGACGGGGCAGTCGGAGCTCGGGAAACGGGGACGTAAGAGTGATAGCTGCCTGCAGAAGTCCCGGGCGGAGAGAGAAGGTGTCAGGGAACAGAGAAAATCTACCTGAAGCTCAAGTTCAGTCAGCAGGAGCGTACTTATCTGTATTGATCAGAAAATCATCCTAGTGTGGAAGGGGATGCTGACAAAACTGGATGTGGAATCTTTGTGTACTGTCTGCCCAGCTTGTCTTTTAAATCTAAAGCAATTTTTAAAAGAAAATGTAGTTTAAAACTAAAAATAGTGTTTAGCAGTCTTGATTCGCAGACTCTGCCGCTCCCCGGAGCCGTGGCCCTGACCCCGTGGGAGCCGCGTGTCTGCTCTTCTGGCCCCGCAGAGGGTCCGGGAGGCCGCACAGGCTCAGCGGGGACAGGGCAGGGCCGCCCGACAGGCTGCAGGGGTCAGCCCACGTGGGTCCCTTCACAAGGTCGCTGGCCACGCCCGGCGGTGTGTCTGAAAAGTACCGAATGCTCACTGCTCAGCGAGGTCACCCAGTCAGCAAGGACGCCTCAGGCAGTGAGGTCATCACCTAGCGAGGTCACCCAGTCAGCAAGGACGCCTCAGGCAGTGAGGTCACCACCTAGCGAGGTCACCTCAGGCAGTGAGGTCATCACCTAGCGAGGTCACCTCAGTGAGGTCACCTCAGGCAGTGAGGTCACCTCAGGCAGTGAGGTCATCACCTAGCGAGGTCACCTCAGGCAGTGAGGTCACCTCAGGCAGTGAGGTCATCACCTAGCGAGGTCACCTCAGTGAGGTCACCTCAGGCAGTGAGGTCATCACCTAGCAAGGTCACCTCAGGCAGTGAGGTCACCTCAGGCAGTGAGGTCATCACCTAGCGAGGTCACCTCAGGCAGTGAGGTCACCTCAGGCAGTGAGGTCACCGGTCAGTGAGATTTTGCTGCTTGTTTCCACCGGGCCTTCCTGCTCACCTGGCCTTGTACAGCCTTGGCTGTCCTGGTGAGGTGACCGAGGGCAGCTGGGCTGGCTGGGTGTGACGTGGTGCTCCTCACGCCTGTGATGGGGAGCACTTCTGGCAGAGGAGGGAGGAGTCTGACAGGGCAGCCCGCCTGGAGCCCCTAGGAGAGAGAGTGGGCCAGGCCGAGCCGGTTGTCTCTTGGAGTGGAGAACTACCTCGCGAACTTTGAGTGACCTGTGTTGGCAGGTTGGGTGACCTGTGCTGGACATGGTGTTGGGGGCAGGGAGGCGCTGGAAGCATAGACACGCCCACAGCAGCAAGGGGTCTCTGCGGGGTACGGCTGTGTGTGCTGCACTGGTCCTGGGGGCTCTGCGGGGTACCACTGCCTGTGCTGCGCTGGTCCTGGGGTCTCTGCGGGGTACGGCTGTGTGTGCTGCACTGGTCCTGGGGGCTCTGCGGGGTACCACTGCCTGTGCTGCGCTGGTCCTGGGGTCTCTGTGGGGTACGGCTGCGTGTGCTGTGCTGGTCCTGGGGGTCTCTGCGGGGTACCACTGCCTGTGCTGCGCTGGTCCTGGGGTCTCTGCGGGGTACGGCTGCGTGTGCTGTGCTGGTCCTGGGGTCTCTGCGGGGTACCACTGCCTGTGCTGCGCTGGTCCTGGGGGTCTCTGCGGGGTACCACTGCCTGTGCTGCGCTGGTCCTGGGGGGCTCTGCGGGGTACGGCTGCCTGTGCTGCACTGGTCCTGGGGTCTCTGCGGGGTACGGCTGCGTGTGCTGCGCTGGTCCTGGGGTCTCTGCGGGGTACGGCTGTGTGTGCTGCGCTGGTCCTGGGGGGCTCTGCGGGGTACGGCTGCCTGTGCTGCGCTGGTCCTGGGGGGCTCTGCGGGGTACTGCTGCATGTGCTGCTGGTCTTGGGGTTAGATTTTTCTAGGTGACTGCTGGCAACAAGAGATCTTGGTTCTTAAGACATGATCAGAAAGTCTTTTTTTTTTTTTTTCCTTGAGGAAAGTTCTGTGAACGTGTGAGGTTCCCAAGAGCTGGAGAGAAGTTGGGGGAGACAGCCGCCCTGTCAGGGTGATGCC